ATATATATATATATAGTTCGTATTACCGTATAATTCAACATAATTATCGAATGTAGTTTATTTAGTGGACTGTGTTATAGTTTAAACTACAGATGGATAAAAACCGGGTTATTTTTGGTGTGATTTGCTCAGCAAGCAATAATTCGAACTCTCCTACGATAAATTACTGACTGAATGAAGGATCAAATATGTACACGTTTCGCTAAGAGTGCAACCTAAAATAGTAGTTGAAGATATTCCATCCTGAACTGTAAATTATTTTACCAACTAATGTTTAAAATATTATCGTATACACATTAAAAGATGGCTGTTAATTAAGTTTTAATAATTCTGATTATATTTTGAAAAGAACGTGATGACACGTATTGCATTCATCAATAAATATAAGCTAAATTATTATTCAACAATTTTTTGATAATATTTATTAATACTAAATAAAAATAAAAAAATGTTTGAATTGAATATAGTTAAAGAAAGAAGAAAAGATTGTACTGCTTAAATAAATGCAAGATATTATGCCAGCATAATTATGATAAATCTAATTTTGATAAGTTTTTATTAAGAATTTAAAATCTATTTACTTTGGATGGTAAAATATCGACTGATGGCGGTAAAATATCGATTTTTTACTGATTTACTTGGTGATGTGATGGAGATTTCGTAGGTGGCACCATAGCGAATTAAACGCATTTTTTACAGTATTGTATAAAATAAAAAAATAACACCAAAAAATTTGGCATTATAACAATAAAAAAATATCAAGTTAGTACTTTTAGAAATGAAATGTTTGAAGAATATCTGGCGTCATAAACGCCATTATTGATGAAATTATAGAAAAACAAAAAGTAAAAGCATTTTAAAAGCACTTCAATTATTATTATATCTAATTTTAATCATCGTCAACAAATAAACAGAGTAAATTTTAACAAGAGAATTATAACGCGCAATAATGAAACAATTATTTAATATGATGGAATGAAAAGCTTATTTCATTGTTAGCACAGATTTAATCGATCTCACAATTTTTATTCGAAGTAGTTATATTTTTCTTTTTTTTTATATATCCTTTTCTTAAATATGAAACGCTTTCTTAATATGAAAAACTAGCTTTCTTACCCACTCAAAGTACACGAATCCATCAACGATAAATGCGAGATCTTTAATAAATTAAAACACTTCGTATATATATTAACGCGCACTGAATAAAATTTAATCACAGTTAGCGCTGCTAACATTTCTCATCGACGCCGCGTTACTACCGTAAAACAAAGTTGTCAATGCGAGATGCAAACGACACTAAACGCGACGACAAACGTGTCACATTTGAGTCTCGGGATCCGAAAGTTAAATTTGACACTTAATGTAGGGCACGAACCACGCGCGAATCTCTCTCGATATAATTGTCTGTAATTCGCAGTCGATGGTGACACTGAATGCAATTGTCATATCGCGTATTGCAAACGTAAAGCTTATACGCGATGTCTAATACTGATAAACGTGGAGAAACTGTCTGACAATGAGTATGAGAGAGACAAAGAGAGAGAGGGAGGCTCTTATATATTTTACATACATATATAATCTATTGAGAAAAAGGGAGAGAGAGAGAGAGAGAGACGAGACAATCGGCATGCGCCGGCCACCGTAGTTTTGACAGCGATATGTCGGCTTGTTCGATCCTGGCCTCGTCTACAGGTCAATATAGGAAAATGGAAGAGTCGATCTCTCGGTATGCGAAAATGGAAGTACCATTTTATCGCGCGTGTATACGAGCAGAAATATATACAGAGAGCAGATCGCAGGACGTCCACGCCGCATTGTGTATAGTGTCTCGCGGATGTTACAGTCCGGTACGAGAGTACGAGACAGCGAACGATCGATATATTGCTCTAACGCTGATAAGGGTGTTCATAACATACGGGGAATTGAAATCGGGTACGTCGAGTTCAGATTTCTATAATACGCGAGAATCACCTGCAGGAACGTTTGTAAACATTGTGATTCCGATCCTTGTAAATGTCAACAAACAACCGGTTTGAATTCTTCATTCGTGTATCATATATACGGAAAAAAAATTATGGCAAACATATACAAAAATATAATTTTTATAATCGTGGAACATGTTACATATAAAAGAAATTACGCGCGATATTTTTATTCAATAATATTATACACGTATTATATTTTATAAAGGAATATTATAATTATTGAAATATTTTGATACGTAAACAAGACAATTGAATTGCATCTAAATGCGGACTGTGATTATACAGGTCTATAATTGCGGCCGTGTGATTGTCAGATGATAGCGACATCGAATACGTGCATGTCATGTATCGTACATTGCGAGTGACATATTAGACAACTTCACGGCGTTAAATGCGCGGGTACAAATCTTTAAATAATTATTCTTAACCGATAATAGAACTGAATTCGCGATTTTTATGTATTATACGTTGAAAGGGAATCTCGCACGGTTATGATATATTCAAATGCAACGTGTTTAAATGTAATCCCTCTCCTCATGCGAGATGCAAACGACACTAAACGCGACGACAAACGTGTCACATTTGAGTCTCGGGATCCGAAAGTTAAATTTGACACTTAATGTAGGGCACGAACCACGCGCGAATCTCTCTCGATATAATTGTCTGTAATTCACAGTCGATGGTGACACTGAATGCAATTGTCATATCGCGTATTGCAAACGTAAAGCTTATACGCGATGTCTAATACTGATAAACGTGGAGAAACTGTCTGACAATGAGTATGAGAGAGACAAAGAGAGAGAGGGAGGCTCTTATATATTTTACATACATATATAATCTATTGAGAAAAAGACAGAGAGAGAGAGAGAGAGAGACGAGACAATCGGCATGCGCCGGCCACCGTAGTTTTGACAGCGATATGTCGGCTTGTTCGATCCTGGCCTCGTCTACAGGTCAATATAGGAAAATGGAAGAGTCGATCTCTCGGTATGCGAAAACGGAAGTACCATTTTATCGCGCGTGTATACGAGCAGAAATATATACAGAGAGCAGATCGCAGGACGTCCACGCCGCATTGTGTATAGTGTCTCGCGGATGTTACAGTCCGGTACGAGAGTACGAGACAGCGAACGATCGATATATTGCTCTAACGCTGATAAGGGTGTTCATAACATACGGGGAATTGAAATCGGGTACGTCGAGTTCAGATTTCTATAATACGCGAGAATCACCTGCAGTAACGTTTGTAAACATTGTGATTCCGATCCTTGTAAATGTCAACAAACAACCGGTTTGAATTCTTCATTCGTGTATCATATATACGGAAAAAAAATTATGGCAAACATATACAAAAATATAATTTTTATAATCGTGGAACATGTTAACATATAAAAGAAATTACGCGCGATATTTTTATTCAATAATATTATACACGTATTATATTTTATAAAGGAATATTATAATTATTGAAATATTTTGATACGTAAACAAATGTAATTGTTAACAAATAATAAAACAAAAATATTACAATTTTTATAGTAATAAATATTGTTACATTACTAATTTATAATAA